GTAAACTGCGAGGGTGTCCCACGCGAGAGCGCGATTCCTGAATAAATTGTGGGGAAATCCCGCGCGAGAGCGCGATGGGAATAAATTGTGAGGAGGTGTCAGGCGGGAGCAGTCGTTGTTGTTGTTCGGGGGCCGAAGGAGCAGTTTGAAAAGGACGATTTTCCCTGATGTAAAGAAAAAGGGTGCGAACCCGAAGAACGGCACTGCAAATGGAAAACATATGTTACCACAGGGGGATCAATAATATGTTCCCTTCGCAGTGACAGCAACAACAACAACAACATCATCATCATCATCAGCAGCACCATCATCATCAACAACAACCACCACCACAATCACAACAACGATAACAAAAACAGCAGCACAACCACAACAACGAAGCGATAAGAACAGTAACGACAACGACAACGACAACAACGACAACAACAACATCAGCAACAACAACATCGACAGCAACAACAGCAAGCATGCCTGGTCGCTCTTATCTGCCCGCGTGCCACTCAACGCGTACATCCTGGACCCTCGCTGCCCGCCCTCTTCGTTTTCGATCAAATCCCACTCGTTACCCTGGTAAAAGACAGGGCGCAAGCCCTGGGAGAAGCATTTCAATTGAATGACCCTGCGACGCATCCAACCCATCGGAACCAAAGGATGGTATAAGACGTTCCGACAATAGTGTGACAGCAACCATGCAAGAGACGGCACACGGCGGACATCTATATCGCGCGAAGTGTGCGTGGCCGCCTCGCAGAACAGAGGTACAGAAGGCCAGGAGGCTTTGTACTGGGAAGGAAACGCAAAAAGAAGACATCGGGGTGGAAGAACCATCACCTCTGCAGAAGCAGCGGGATGATGGAGCATGGGCAAGATAAAGTTACATAGGCGAAACACCAACCAAACAATGAAGTGCCGCATTTTTCCCTGCCGGAATGCTCAACACCTGCGCGGCCAGCGCTCCACGTTGCTGCAGCGACTCGGAAAATTAAACGTGTCCATTACTGGTGCAAGAAGAGGTCACGGCCTGGCTCGCCCGCCAGCATCTCCGCTTCCTCCCTGCAGTTCTTAGTGCGAGCACCAAACGCGCGCAGGCCACCCAGCAGCCCTCAAAAATAGCAACAAATTCACACTTCGCAGCCTCCCCCTATGGATGGCAAGGTCCCGTTTGGATCTGCGCGGGACCCAACTGTGATGCCCCCCCCCGGGCAGCCCTCGAAGTGGCGACTGATTCCCACGTCGCAGCGACCCAGGATGGCGAGGTCCCGTTCGGATATGGCCGGGGCCCCACTGCGCTGGCGCCTCCAGCAGCATTCGAAAGTGGCGACGGGTTCACACTTCGCAGCCTCCCCAAGGATGGCAGGGTCCCGATCGGATCTGCGTTGGGCCCCACCGTGTTGGTTCCCCAGCAGCCCTCGAAAGTGGCGACAGGTGCATACTTCGCAGCCGCCACGAGGGATGCGAGAGGAGAGAGCCGAGAGAAGAGCGGGGTGGAGGAGGGAGCTGGCGACCCCATTGTTCTATATACAAAACGAGAACACAAATCAAGGGAGGGTTGGGGATAATGCAATGGTTGCCGCGCAGGGGGATCAACTGTAAGTATTCCTAGAAATCAGAAATCAAGAACAGCAACCACAGCAACAACAACAGCGACAACAACAACAACAACAACAACAACAACAACAGCAACAACAACAACAGTAACAAAAACAACAACAACAACAACAACAACAACAACAACAACAACAACAACAACCACAACAACAACAACAACAACAACAACAACAACTGCAGCAGCAGCAGCAGCAGCAGCTGCAACAACAGCACCAGCAACAACAACAACAATAACCACAACAATAAGTTTAAAACTGTTCGCTCTTACTGGCACGCGTGTCTTGCATTATGTTCCCAAACCTTCGATACCCGCCCACTTCGTCTTCGATCGCAACCACGTTTGGGGAGGGGGGGGGAACATCCTCCTTGTCAGCCACTACCTGAAGTGCGAGGAAGTCTCGAGCGAGAGCGCCGTTCCTGAGTTCGGGCGCCTTCCTGGCCAGGGGCTCTCGGAATACAGATTGAGGAAGTATCGAACGGGAACCTTTGTCGCCGTGTCTGGGCCTCCACCAACTTGCCTGAATTGCGAGAAAGTCTCGAGCGAGAGCGCCACTCTTGAGTTCGGGGGCCTCTCCAGCAAGGGCCTCTGCGAATACCTTAGAGGCAATATCGAACGGGAGCCCCTGTCGTCGTAGTTGGGCCTCCGCCGAGTGGACTGAATTGCGAGGAAGTCTCGAGCGAAGGCACAGTTCCTGAGTTCGGGGGCCTTCCTGGCCAGGGGCTCTCGGAGTAAACCGTGGGGAAATATCGAACGGGAGCCCTTGTCGTCGAGGCTGGGCCTCCACCAACTTGACTGAACGACGAGAAAGTTTCGAGCGAGAGCGCCACTTTTGAGTTCAGGGACCTCTCCAGCAAGGGCCTCTGCGAAAACATGTTGAAGCAATATCGAACGGGAGCCCTTGTCGTCGGAGTTGGGCCTCCACCGAGTCGAGGAAGTCTCGAGCGAGAGCGCCGTTCCTGAGTTGGGGCGCCTTCCTGGCCAGGGGCTCTCGGAGTAAATCGTGAAGAAATATCGAACAGGAGCCCTTGTCGTCGTGGCTGGGCCTCCGTCAACTTGACTGACTTAAAGGAAACTGTTGAGCGAGGGCGCCACTCTTGAGTTCGGGGGCCTCCCCGGCTAGGGCCTTTTGTGAATACACTTTAAGGAGATATTGAACGGGAGCCCTTGTCGTCGTAGTTGGGCCTCCACCAAATTAACTGAAGTGCGAAGACATCTCGAGCGAGAGCGCCGTTCCTAAGATCGGGGGCCTCTCTGGCCATGGTGTCTCGGGGTAAATTGTGAAAAAATTGAGAGGGAGCCGTTGTCGTCGTAGCTGGGTATCCAAGGGCACACATTTACAATCAAGCCAACGCTCGCGGTGGATCCTTGTCTTCAATAGACATGCAGCCGGCGTCGAGGCGAGAGCGCGCGGAACCGTGTCCGGAGATCAACTGGACTTGTCATATAGAAATGAGAACTCAAGTACAACAACAGCAGCAACAACAACAGAAACAGCAGCAGTAGCAATAGCGACAACAACAGCAACATCAGTAGCAACAGCAACAGCAACAACAACAACAATCAGATTGAGAATGTTCCCTCTTATTTGCTCGCGTGCCATTCAACACGTACATCCCAACACCTCGATATCCGCCCTCTTCGCCTTCGATCTTACGCCACTTGGGAGTATTTCTGTATTACCAGCAGCATGTATTTCGTGCACCTCCGAAGGTAGGGGAAGAGAGGACGGATGGATGGAAGGGACAAGGGGGAGGGAGGAAAACGGAGCACGAGAAAGAATAGCATGAGGGGGCTAGGACAGGAAAACACGTGGCAGAACCAAACGGGCAGATCGGGGGGGTAAGCCCTAACGGGCGGATCGGGACGGCGGGCCCAGGCGGCCAGGTCGAGCAGGCGGGTTGCTGAAGCGCGCGTCCTGCACGAGTCGCGAAGAGGGTTCGTGCGAGAGCGCGATTCCAAAAGAAGTCGCGAAGAAATCCACAGCGAAAACGCGACTCCTGAGCCTGAGTGTCGAGGCCGCGGCGTTTGAATAAAGTGGAAAAAAGTCCCATCCGAGAACGGATTTCTCAATAATTGTGAGGACGTCCCAAACGAGAGCGCGATTTCGGAATACATCGACATGACGTATCAGGCAGAAACCGCGGATGTTGCAAACGGGGGCCCCGCAACAGAACGTCGGTTACACCTCGCGTTCCCTCTGTGTGTGGTGTGTGTGTGTATATATATATATATATATATATATATATATATATATATAAACGCCCTTCGTCTTCGATCGCACCCCCGCTTGGGGGGTACATTCGTTCCCTGCCACGCGCGTTCGACGAAGCCCTTGAAAACGAAGGGCAACAGACCACGGGGGGGGATGGGGACGAACGGATCGGAGGAACGGAGGGGGGGCAAGAAGGAAGGAGGACGACGATTTGCGCTGCGAGCGGTGATTCAGCTTGCGCCACGGCTCGCGCCAGCCACTCCAATACAGGTTAACTATAAGCTTCGCCACGGGCCGCGCCATAAACAGCGCCACGCACCACCCCCTTGAAAGAACACGTCGTGGATACCCCCGCGGGGGGATGCACAACTGCGAACTGGCGTCTGAAACAAATTTCGCGGAACCCTGGAAAGAAGCGGGACGTTGGGAGAGCGGGGCGGAAGGTTAGCGAGAACTGCAACCGCGTCGAGAGGAGCGCGGGGACGCGGGGTGGATTGGGATGGAGTGGACAAGAGTGGGGTCCCAGGGGGAGGAGCCGCAAGGAGTGGAGGAGAAGAACCGGGAGGAGCGCGGGCGGGCAGGGGGCGCGCGGGAGAATCTGGAAGAAGAACGAAAAATGATTTGGGAAAAATTCGGGACGCGAGCGGGAAGGGGTGGAGATCGTCGGGGCGGGATGGGGCGGCTCGGACGGGAGTGAGCGGAATGCGAAGAACTGGAGAGTCGCACGATGGAGTACGAACGACATGAACATGATGATAATGGGAAAGAGTAGAGAAGCCTGAGAAAGAACGTTGAAAAGTGGGGGCAGGTGGATGCGAGCGGAGACTGGCGGGGAAACAAAGCGCGGGGGATTGGAAGGCACCCGAAAGCCTCCCGGAACGGCCCCGATGACCACCGAGCAGTTCCAGAGGCTCCGACAACCTGCGGAAACGCCCCGGGGGCCTCGTCGAGGGAGGCCTTCATTCGAAGCCTGCAGAAGAACCTGGGCCAGTGGAGCACGCGCGTCTCTAAGGCCGGCAGCAACGCTGGCGATGCACACACCGACCCGCGGCAACCCGACCCCAAGATGGACAGACAGCGGGCTCACCACGACGACGACGACGACCACGACAAGAGGAGGGAGGAGGAGGAAGAGGAGGAGGGAGGAGGAGGAGGAGGGGGAGGAGGAGGAGGAGGAGGAGGGAGGTGGAGGAGGAGGAGGAGGAGGAGGAGGAGGAGGAGGAGGAGGAGGAGGAGGGGGAGGAAGGAGGGAAGGAGGAAGGAGGGAGGAAGGGAAGGAGGAGAGGGAGGAGGGTGGGGGCTGAAGGGCGACAGGCTGGCCCTCGGCAGGCGGCGGATTATCGGCCTGGCTGGCTGAAGGGTCGGAGTGCCGGGCTCCAGGCGGCAGGCGGGCCCCAAGGGGGGCGGCCAGGGGCGACGACGACGACGACAATGACGATAAGGGGAAGGAGGGAGGGAGGGAGGGAGGGAGGGGGAGGAGGGAGCCGGGAGGGACGGAGGGGCGGGAGGGACAGCTGTGAAAGGAGAGAGAGAAAGAAGAGGGAGTGAGGAAGAGAGAGAGAGAGAGAAACAAAAAAGAGAGAGAGAGAAAGAAAGAAAGAGAGAGAGAGAGAGCGAGAGAGGGAGAGAGAACAAAAAAACACTGAGAGAGGGAGAGAGAGAGAGAGAGAGAGAGAGAGAACAAAAACAAAAACAAAAAGAGCGCGGAGGACGAGGAGGATGCGGACCCCCGAAGCCCGGCCGACCCCGAGACCCAGCCGAACCAGGCCTTTTTTTTACGCGGTGGGCCCCCGACGCCCACGGACTGCGAAGGGCAGCGAAAGGGCCGCGAAGGGCAGCGAGAGGGCCACGAAGGACGACAGCGGGGCTACGAAGGGCATGCGTTATGGGGCCACGAAGGGCATATAATGCGGGGCCACAATGGGCAGCGACGGGGCCACTGAGGGCAGCAACGGGGCCACGAAGGGCAGCGAGCGAAGGCGACCGCGGAACCAGCGCGGGCAGCGAGGGGCATTGAAGACGGGCGAAGGGCAGCGGCGGGCAGGCCCAGATGGGCGGGTCGAGCGGGCGGGTCGTTGAAGCGTAAATTCTGCTTGAACCGCTAGGCAATGTGCAACGGGAGCGCGATTCCTGAGTGTCGAGGAGCGGCATCTGAATACATTGTGAGGAAGTATCAGGCGGGAGCCGCGATTCGGTGGTAAGTTGCGAAGAAGCCCTAAGCGAGAGCGCGATTCTTCAATAGGATGGAAGTATCAAGCGGGAGCCGCGATCCGGTGGTAAATTGCCAAAAAACTCCCAAGCGACTGCGCGATTCTTCAATAAATTGTGTGGAAATATCAGGCAGGAGCCGTTGCTGTTGTAAACCGGGGGCCAACGACACAGATTGACCCTCAAGACTTTCCCTGATAAAAAACAGGGTGCGAGACACGGGAACGGCACTCCAATCGAAAAAAACAATGTGGACCAGACGGGGGGGACCAACAATAATAATTCTTCAGAAACGATAAATCAACAACAACAACATCAACAACAACATTAACAACAACAAGAACAGCAACTACGACTACGACTACGACTACGACTACGACTACTACTACTACTACTACTACTTATACTTATACTTCTACTTCTACTTCTACTTCTACTTCTACTACTCCTACTACTACTACTACTACTACTACTACTACTGCTGCTACTACTACTACTACTACTACTACTACTACTACTACGATTACTACGACGACTACTACTACTACTACTACTACTACTACTACTACTACTACTACTACTACTACTACTACTACTACTACTACTACTACTACTACTACTACTACTACTACTACTACTACTACTACTACTACTACTGCTACTACTACTACTACTACTACTACTACTACTACTATACTACTACTACTATTACCACCACGACTACTACTACAACTACTACTATTACTACTACTACTACTACTACTACTACTACTACTACTACTACTACTACTACTACTACTACTGCTGCTGCTGCTGCTGCTGCTGCTGCTGCTGCTGCGGGCTACTACTACTACTACTACTACTACTACTACTACTACTACTACTACTACTACTACTACTACTACTACTACTACTACTACTACTACTACTACTACTACTACTACTACTACTACTACTACTACTACTACTACTACTACTACTACTACTACTACTACTACTACTACTACTACTACTACTACTACTACTACTACTACTACTACTACTACTACTACTACTACTACTACTACTACTACTACTACTACTACTACTACTACTACTACTACTACTACTACTACTACTACTACTACTACTACTACTACTACTACTACTACTACTACTACTACTACTACTACTACTACTACTACTACTACTACTACTACTACTACTACTACTACCACTACTACTACTACCACCGCAACAGCAACACTTGCAACCACAACAACCACAACAACAGCAGCAACAACAACGAGTACAGCGTCAAATACAACAATTACAACCACAACAACAGCAGCAAATAGCAAATACAACAACAACAACAACAACAACAACAACAACAACAACAACAACAACAACAACAACACCAGCCTCGAACCTCGGGGGGGGGCGTCCGCCGACGCGGAGGCGCCCTTGGCCTGAAGCAGCGGCGAGCGGCACACCGTCAGCACCGCGGGCACGCACTTCTCGACGACGGCGGGCGCCACGGCCGGCGCGCTGTCGAGCACCTGCCGAGCAACCCCGCTCCCTCCCCCTGGCGGGTGTGCACGCGGAGCGCTCCAAGAGGAGGAGGGAAGAGGGAGGAGGAGGAGGAGGAGGAGGAGGAGGAGGAGGAGGAGGAGAAGAAAGAGGAGGAGGAGGGGGAGAAGGAGGAGGGGGAGGAGGGGAAGGAGGAGGAGGAGGAGGAGGAGGGGGAGGAGGAGGAGGGGGAGGAGGGGGAGGAGAGGGAGGAGGAGCCCCCGCAACAGCGCGTCCCAGACCGAAACACACACGCGCACAGCATACACGAGCTAAAGCGATTCGCACCGCGACAAGAGGAACGTTCCAAGATGTGCACACGACCACAGCTACAGCCAACTGCTTAAAGCCCAACCGCTGGGGGATGATGATTGACTCCTGTGCCCTCGTCAGCAAGCAATGGTGTTCGCATACGTTTTCCCCGAACAGGACTTGCACCTGCACCCAAAAGAGGGTCGCCGGTCCACTGTTCGGAGGTTCTTGCTGGCGGAAACTGCGCAAGGCAGCGGTGCAATGTTTCCTTTGGTTTTCAATGCAACTGGGGTGAGTCACAAGTCCGCCTGCCATCCCAATCATCCCTGGCGCCACACCACAATTCACGAATACGTATCTGTTCTTGCAAAGCGTGACATTCGAATATATGGGTTCTCAAAGCATTTGTTTTACATCTTCTTTGCACTGACGGTGTCCTTCCACTTGTCTTCGACCGCGTTATGCTTCGATCGTTTCCATGGCCGCGCGGGCGGGAGCGAGCACCCCCGCCCCTCCGCTTCCTCGAGCACAAGAGCGTACTGAACACAAGTTTTCTGCATGCTTTTATGCCTTCGTCAACCGTCAGCGGTGCCCGCATACCACTTCCCCAAACAGCACTTGCACACTCACCGATGTAAGGGTTGCTGGCTTGCTGTTTGGGCGCCCCTGCTGGCGGATGCGGCAGAAGCCGGCGGCATCACTTTGTTTTGATTTTCTCCATGCAAATGGGGCGAGTCACACGTCGGCCTTCTCGCCCCCAATTCGGTTGGCAGGCCCGCGGCTCCAGGACCGGCGGGGCCACGCGCGCGGGACTCTGCTGCGCCAGCTTGATGCACAGCCGCGACGGCACGTCCGCGACGCTCGAAGCGGACGGGGCGCACGTGATCCACATGGACAGTTGCACCTCCAACGCGGTCAACCAAGCCTCGTCGATCAGCTCAGCGGACGCCGCCACGAGGCTGCACCCGCGGATCAGCGCGCCCGAGGCCGACCTGTTGCCCACGAGTACGACGACGCGCCCTCCTTCCAACGCGCCCGCCCACGCGAAGAGGACCACCCAGACGGGATGCAATTCAGCCTGGCCGAACACCTGACCCTCTCCAAGAGCCCGCCAGTCTGCCACCACCGCCTCCCTGACCAGGAACGAGAAGAACTGTCTGCGCCTGGCCCTGTTCACGTCGGTTCACGTCGATCAACACCCCTCCGACCGCGACTTTCGCGCCGTCGTCCTCGACGGCGCCGTCTGCATTAGCAACGACACAACGCCGCGCGCAATGTAGACGGGGGCCGTTCTAGGCAGCGCCCGCTCCAAAAACTCTGCCCAAAAGTGGCGCGGCCCCTCGGCCCCCGGATCGCTGGCGGGGACCGGATGCCTTGCGAACTCGGCAAGCGCCCGGGGCCCGATCGCGCCAGTCGCTCCGAATACCCGCCCCGCCGCGCACTGCAGCCAACCACGGAGAGACGAGGCGGCCGCCTGCGAGAGCCGCTGGCTGCGGGCCGCATTGCCAGCAAGGCCAAGACGCCCTCCGCTCTGGACCCCTCGTTGCCGACCAGAACGAGCCCCGCTCAACGTTGAAAAAATCGAACGCCGCCCCCAATTCGCCGGACGACGCGCGGAAGCCTTGCGCCTCGCCCCCGCCCTCTTCGCACCCCCGCCCCAAGATCTCGAGGAACGAACGACCCCACTGCCCGACGAGCTGATCGAACCGCGAGCGCCGCGCGCAACCTGCGGGTCGTCGCCGACGCAGCGCGCGCGGGCGGCCCGCGGCAGCCCCGCGAAGATGCACCCCGCAGCCGGCCCGACGCGGGCCCCGAAAGCGAGCTCGCACAATGGGAAATACGTCTTCGACTTCGAGAGCGGGCCCCAAAGGCCACCGACACAGATCTCACCGAGCTCGGGAACCGCGGCAACGTTCTGGCACGCCCCCCCAGGCACAGAGCCTGGCCACGCAGCTCCAATTTTCCCGCGGCGGCAAAACCGCGCGCAGTTCCCCGCGGAAGACTCCGCCCGCGCGGAGCCGGATCTTCACCCGGTCGCCTTGCACAGCCCTGGCCCACGCCTTCATCGCAGACACCACCCCGTCAACGACCGACAGGTCGGTCATGGCGCGCGTCTGGGAGGCATCGCTGCGGCCAGACACCGACCGAAGGATCATCGATTGGTTCGCCAGCCCCGCCAGCCGGGTTCCCCGCTTCTGGGCCCCGACCCAGCCCTTGCCTACGACAGCCGACACTTCGTCGAAAGCGAGAGGGCCTTCGACCTCCCCCGCCCGCACTTCGCCCCCGGTTATTCTCAAAATGGCGAGATCGCACGCTGGGCCAGCAGGCGGGAAACGAAGCCGCCAAGGGCGCGCTTCGCCCGGGCCCCCAGGCAAGGGAAGATCCAACATGGACCCGGACGCAGGGCGACCATCGAGGTCGGAGGCTGGGCGCGCAGGCACCTCCCCGAACATCAGGGCACCGACGTTCGATAATTGCGCATTACACAACATCTCCTCGAGCAGGATCGACCGCTTCTCGACCCAACGCGCCCGCGCTCCAGGGCGCGCCCGCGCCGCGAGGCCCGTCTCGCGATCGCCCAGCTTGGCGGCGCTTGCCTTCCACGCGTAAACGACCCTCAACCGGCGCCACTCGAACGGGTTCGGCCCTTTTCGCGAGGACGTCGACAATGGCCTCGCTCGCGGCGGCGCCCGCCAGGGCCCCCGGAAGGCGGCGCAGCGCAGCCGGCCCCTCCACAGACTCCCCGGGGAACAAGGGGGCGCCGACGGCAGCCGCGCGCGACCCGATGGCCCGCGCCAGCCTGCGCCCCGCCGACCACGGGGCCGGCCTCGAACTCGCGGCCCCCCGGGGGCCCAGCGAGCGCCTCGCGCGAGAAGGGCGCGGTTGAACGCGAGGAACGCCACCCCCCGCGGCCGCTCGCCGACCGCGACCGCTCGGGGCAACCAGGCCGCCAGGCCAACTCTGCGGCCAACTTTGGCAATTTAGTCGGCGCGCGACGACGCCCCAACAGAAGCGTTCTCGGGGCTTGCCTCCCGCCGCGCTGAGCGCCGCCAGCGCTGAACAATTTGTCGCGATGCGACGCGACCCGCCCCGGCCACATCCGCGCGCGCAGGCCCGAGAACGCGGCGCCCTGGATTCCGGCCGCAAGCAGAGAATCGCCGCAGCGTCTACCCATCAGTTCGATAAAGCTCTGCGGGAGCCCCCAAACGCCCGCCACACCTGGCGCCCTTGGCACCAAACCGCAACACTTGCGAAGAACCAGAGCTCGTTCTCCCCGGCGAACCTGGCCCGGTCACCGTGCCAGCCGCGCCATGGGGCTCGACCTCTGCGCGGGGCCGCCCAATCGCCCTGCCCGGGGGCCTCCCCGACGCCCCCGTGGTCGCGGACATCCACGCCAGGGCCGGCAGGCCCGCGGACTCGAGCAACTCTCGGTTTAGTGGCAGACCCTCTGGCGCCGACAGCTCAAGATTCACCGCTGGGCCATCAAGCGCACGCTTGTTGCGCCAATCCACGCCGACGCCGTTAGACCCCCCGGCAAGGAAAGCGGCCGCGAGGCGTGCTGAACCAGCGAGCAGCTCGACGGCCCGCGGGCCACTCGCGTTCGCCAAGCGGCCATCAGGCTGGCCTGGCCGCTTCCGCAGCGACCGCACCGTCGGCGCTGGCAGCGGCCGCCCCGACGGCTGGCGCGCGGGCGGCGGCAGTCGCCGGCCGGCGTCTCGAGGTGGCGGCGCCGCTGGCCAGCCTGCCCGCTCAGCGACTGGGCCCTCAATTTGATGGAGCGCCGACCGCGGCAGCCGCGCCGGCTGGCTTGCGGCTCCGCTGCCGGCGAAAGGGCCGGCAGCGGCCGCGCGACTAGCTAGCCAGTCTCTCACTGACGGTCCCGGAACCGGCGCGTCTCCAGGCACCTTGGCGAGCAGCACTCGCAGAAGTCTCTCGAGCACGCCCCTGGCAAGCTGCACGCGCGAGACATATTGCGCGAGAAGCACAAAGGCCCTTCGCCGCCGCAAGTGGGCACGCAGCCGCAGAATCGGCAGGCGTCGTCGGAGACCAGGTTCGGCCCCCCTGAAGGCCTTGCCCCTTCCCCATTCCCTCGGCAGCCCCTTGGCCTGCGGCTGCCCATGGACCCGCGCTGGCGCCCGCGCGGTTCGCCACCCGCCGATGCCGCTTCAGGGCGCTCTGGAACACCCCCGCGCCGCCCTCGCCTGCGCCCGCGCCCCGGCCTCGCTCGGCGCCGCCGGCGCCGGCGCCGCCGCGGGAATGGCGGGCCACGCGCGCCCGCACCCCCAGGCGATGAAGCATCGACCCCACGCGCCGATCTTACGCTAGAGCGCCAATGACGAGCCTGGGCGAGCCCCGAGCCACTCCACCAAGCTGCCCGCAGATCCCCCAGCGCCCCCTCTTGATCCGGGCCACCACGATGACGGAATAGCCGAAGGCGGGAGGCCCCAGCCGGCACACGACTGACATTAACACAGTCATGTCTACGACAAGGCCCGGCGCTCCAGCGCGCGCTCGATCTGGAGTTCGCTGCCAGCGTCTGCAACGGCCTCGTTATCCTTGAATCTCCGCTCGATCGCGCGACTTCAATCCGGCGCCGCGGCGGTCGCGCGCCTCGCCCCGCTTGGCTCGAAGGACCGCTCCGAGCGCGCCGATGAACTGCAGCGCGCCCGCCTCGGAAACGCCCACCATCTCCTGGACAACGGCGCCTTTCACGTCGAACCCTTCGCCCAGTTTAACCCTCGGATTCCGCCAGCCAGCCGCCGCCCTTGCTACGCCAACTCTCAGCCAGACGGTCTCCTTGGGGCGTCGTCCATCGCCCTGGAGCGCGCCGCTTGGACTTCCCGGATGGTCGACTCAATGCTCTCGGTCCACAAGAGGGGGGCGCGCCGGCTCGAAGACCGAGCCGTCGCCAGACCCGCTGCTCCAGGTCGCCCGGGGGGCCCTGCCCAAGGAAGCTGGCGGGCCCAACGGTTGCGTGGGCGATCCGCCCCTTGACTTTCATCCAGGGGCGAACTCTGCGAACCCCAACTCGAAACGCTCACCTCGAACGCCGCCTCGCCAACTGACGCCGCGCCGGCAACGCCAACGACCTGACAGGCAAGACTGGCACAAAGAGGGGGCCGGCTCGCTGGCGAGCTCAAACCGACACTCGCGCCGAACTGACTACGGAATCCGCGCCGCGCATGCTGGGCGACTGCGCACTCGATCGCTCAAAAGCGACCCCTGGGGGCGGCCGCAGGGGTAGGGTCACATCGCGCACCCCGAGTGCCACCCTGAATTGACCCACGCGAAACACAATGCATTCTGCCTCGAAAAGCAGGCGGACATTACTTCCAAGGGCAGCACCACCGAGCCACCTCGCACGAGGCGCCCACCGCCGACGCCCGCCACATCGCGCGCGCAGCAGGCCCCCTCCACCCCGCCGCGACTCCCCACCACGCAAGCGGCGCCACCACCTCCGCAGGGGCAAACCGCCGGCAGTTCCGAAAGCAACGGAGCCCGCGCCACCTCTCGCGAACATCGCGGCCCGCAGCGCCCACATGCCCACGCCCCTTCGCTCGCGCTGGCGGCCGAAATCAAAACAACTCCTCCTCCACCACCGCCGCGTCCGCACTCCATGTCCTGGAATGATCACCTTCGCGCTACCATATTCAAACAATGAACCCACCTGCCATCCACTTCCACTCTGCACGGCGCCTTCTTCCCCGGAGGGGCAGGCAGCCACGCCCTGCGCAGGCTGCGTCGACTTCCTGGCCACCCGCGCGCCGCTCTACGAGCGCAGCAGCCAGGACCAAAGATAACCTTACCCGCCTTTTCCACATCGTCGTCCTCTTCATACTCCACATTGCCAATATCGGAATACCGCCCCCATCCTGAAGGCGGCGTCTTCCGAAACTGCATTCTTACTCCCTCACCCAATATTCCTCACCATGGTCAATGCGACATATTTGAGCGTAGGCATATCTCATAGATGCAACAAAAGCAGCCTCCACATCGGCGGATACGGAAGCAATCTCCTCATCGGGCTGTCCTCTTCGCGTCTTACGCCAGCACTCATGTCGCGCCAGCAAGCGTCCTTCCACACTCTCGCCTGCGTCTCCCGCCAACGGTTGACGCGCGAGCATGAGTTCCCGCGGGCAACACTGACGCTGATGTCGGAACTTGGGCGGCCCGCAGAGACTGAGGACGATGGTAATGCATTGCGGATATTTCGTTGAAGAGCGCGCATGCTTTGATGGCGAAGCACAATGGCGACGACGGTTGTGTTACTGTGGCCCTTCCCGTTTACATCTTGTTTTTACAGCCGGAAGCGCCGTCTTCGCCGGCCTCTGGCTGTCGGCCACGCAGCGCTCGCCACCCCACGCACGCCACTAGCCACACGGGCTCTCATTTTCCCCGCAGCGCCTACTTCCCCGAAGTTGAAGGCGGCGCTGGCAACACAGCTCGCGCAACTTCGCGCCAACTACGCAGCCAACTTCGCCATGCGGTGGCGCCAATTCGAGCGCCTGGTTGGACCATGCCCCGCATCGAGCGAGCTGCGGCCCGCCTTTCGACCCGCAACTTTCTGCTCTCTCCCACTGTCTCCTCATGCTGCGCAAGTCTTGCTAGCCGTCGCGGCCACGACGGCGGTGGCCACTCGTAGAGTGATTCAAAATCGAATCGGCGAAACGCAACCCCGCAAGCTGCCACAGGGACGCCAGGGGGCACCGCCCAGTGGATGCAGGATGCGCGGGAATTCTGGACCAGGCCCGCTTCGGGGACAGGCTCGGCCTCATCTTGTTCCTGAACGACTTCGGCCAGCGCCTCCGTGCCATCGAGATCATCCTCGGCAGTCCTTGGGGAAACCAAAAGGTGACGATACCACTACTCCCTGGGCCTCTCCCACGGTGCGTTCTGACCAGGATTTCGAGGCGAATCCAGCAGTGACAACGAGAGCCTCCGAGGAGGCCGTACAAGGGGAAAACGGGCGAAGGGTACTCCAGATCCTTCAATAAGCACCCCCCCGTGCCAACCGGTCCGACGCCCCTTGCCCACCCCCCGACGCGCCCCAAACCCACTCCCTCTCGCTCCCCAACCTCCTCACGCCCCCCGAAGGACAGCGGTTCCCCACCCCCCCAGGCGATCCACCCCCCCACGCTTATTGAGAGGCCTGGAGTAGCGGTATCGGCACCTTTTCCTCCTCTGAGCCCTCGTGCCCTCCGCGGTGTCCGCCCCGTCCATAGGGCGCAAACAAACCTACCGCGCTTCTGACCACCCTCGCTTCCAAGAGCTGCCAAGCGATGCCAAACTGCGGCCCGCACTGGTCTGGCCGCTCGACGTGGAGGCGCGTGGTGTGACGTGGCTTTGCCTGGAGGCGAAAGCGGGGTAGGTAATTCACGCTCTGACTTCCTCCTCTGAGCCCAGCGATCGAAGAACGTTATAAGATAAACTTTTTCGCTGTCGGGGGCGCCTGTCCCTGGGCGGCTGGAAAGTTTATACCTCTACGGTGCCACCGTAAGGGCATAAACTTTCCAGCAGCCCAGGGACAGGCGCCCCCGACAGCGAAAAAGTCTATCTTATACCGTTCTTCGCCCGTTAGCCCTCGTGCCCTCCGCGGTGTCCGCCCCGTCCGGCGCGGCACCGCCGCGCCCGTGGACCCCGGGGCGCGCGCCTGGCCATCGCATGGACGTCCATTTCCTGTGTTTTTTTGTTCCGTGCGTGGCTTTCTCGCCAAATGATCAAGGACGCTCCCCGATGGTCCTCGCCGAAGGAAAAACGCACACGCCCGAGCGATGCCAAGGCGCGCGCCAAGGCGGGCGCACGCCGAGAGCGCACGCCGAGCGCACGCACCGCGTGGCGGCAGCAGCGGCGGGGCCCGCCGCACGGCCGCGGAAGGGCGGCCCGCACGCCCGCGGCGGAGGGCCTGCCGGCGCTCCGCCGCAGGGGAGGGGGCCCTGGGCTTATGTCGGGCCTGTCCCCCTGCAGGGGGATTTTCGATGAACAATATATATATAGAGAGAGAGAGATATATATATATATATATATATACACACATGTATATATATATATATATATATATGTATACACCCCAAAAGTACCCCAAAAAGGTCAACAAATACCCAAAAAATAGTCCCCAGACTATTTTTGGATTATTGTTTGTCATGTTTGGAGTATGTTTAAAATTTGTCGTGGGAAATCCCCATGTAAGGGGGACAGGCCCGACATAGCCCTGGGACACACAGAGAAATACACACAAATAACAGGGTTTCCCATAGTTTCCCACATGTTCTGGGTTCTCGTCCTCCCGCCCAGGTCCCATGGTTTCCCCCATTTTCTTGGGGATCGGCGATTCATTGTGTCTGTGTGTTTTTTCCCCTCCTGAGTCTTGGCCAGCGCTGACAGCAGGCCAGGCTGCCGGCGGCGGGGCCAGCCACCTCCCAGACCTCGTCTGGTCGGGGTCGAACCTGGCGCCTCGCACAGCCACTACAGCGCATTCCAAGTCGCGCAGTGGTTCCGCCAGGGCGTCCTGGAGTGCTCAAGGAGGATGCGGCTATTCTGGTCCGCGTGCAACCCCAGGTCTGCACCAGCCTTGGCGCACCAATTAAGCAAAGTCGCCCTCGCGGAATACATACCCATGCCTTGCAAGTACGCTTGCTTCCATCCGACTGCGTTGCCGATGAGTTGCAACCACTTGCACCCTTCGGCCGTGTCCCTTCTGGCGTCGCCACAACGGCCATCGCTCAGAAATAGGAACAGGCATCGGAACAGGCATCGGCCCTTCCTGCGTTGAGGCTCAAGTCGGAGCGCCTCGGGAGCCACGCCATCACCCAAGGCTTGCCCGACACGCTAAACGCCAGCCCGGCCTTCCTCGCCGCGTACCCAGTCGTGTGGTTGCCGAACCCTGCCGCGGCTTCGCTGAAGCCCCAGTCCCATTCGGGAGGGTCCAGTGCGGATTCGCGACAGACTCTCGCACGTCTCCGAAGCGCCCGCGGACGTGGACGGCAGAGACGAAGAAGCCCAGCACAGGGCGCCTTTCGACTATGACAGACCTTCTGCCTGGTACAAGCGCATGGCCTTGAAAGGTACCCGCTGCTTCTTCGGGTTTTTTCTTTTCAGTCCTTTCGCCGCCAGTCCCCGGGTCCACGTCGTGACGGCACCGTCCGCGTCCGCGAGGCCGATCATGCCCCGTGCGAAGGCCACAGCCTCTGCGAACGATGTCCCGCGTGACCGCGATGCGTGGATCGCTTCCCCGTAGGTGCTCCACCATCTGCTGCTCGGCCAGCGGGAAGGGGTCGCAACCAAAACGGCGCGCCCACTTGAGGTGCATGGCCAAGGATTCCTCGTCGTATGGCTTTGCATGCCCATCTCTTCCACCACATCTTGTGTCATCGGTCGTACTATGGAGGGGGAGGAGGACGAAGAGCCGCGGCACCAGGATTAGCAGCACAGGGGCAGGAGGCAGAGCTGCGAGCGCGTGGCACCGTGATGAGTACGACGCAAAGCGAGACAGTAACTGGAGCAGGACAACACGATGGTACACGAAACCGACCATAGGACAAACCATGAGCTCTCTCACACACCCCATCACGCTGCTCGGCATCGCCCAAGGCACAATGTAATTACCCTGCAAGACGTCCCGCCTGCACGGCCACCTGCACACACAGGTCTGTAATGTACAAGTCTGTGTCCTGTAGGCCAGTCAACAAGCAGGCGAGCTCACGGACAAACTGACGAATGGAAATTCGCCGGCCCAACGGGCCAGAGGCGTGCTAAGATCTCCTGCAACTACTTTACAATAGTTCTACTTCGCGCGCGCGGGGCGGCCCCTGGGGGTCCCCGGGCGAACAGTACCCCGGGCAGGTCCCGGGCGACTCGGGTCAGAGATGGTTTTCCTCCTGGGCGCCGCCCTCGAGGCCGTCCAGAGAGCCCCAAGAAAGGCCAAGAGGCCGCCAAGAGCCCCTCAAGATGATACAAGAGAGCTCCGAGATGCCACAATATCGCTCCAAGACGCCCAAGATGGCCCCCAGACGGCCCAAGAGGCCTCCAAGAGCACCCTCAAGAGGGCACCAAGAGGCAAAAATCCTTGTTTTTTCCTTTGGTTTGGGAGAGATTTTGGCGTTTCCACCTTTTCGGCTTCCCGACACCCCAAGACGGCCCAAGAGGCCCCCACGACCGCCCCAATAGGGTCCAAGAGGCCCCCAAGAAGGCCCCAAGACGGCCCAAGAGGCCTCGAAGACAGACCAAGAAGGCCCCAAGAACGCCCCAAGAGAGGTCCCAGGGCAGGGAACACGAAACAACATGTCGAGCCCTCGGCCCTAAGGAGCCCCCAGGAGTCCACAAGAGGCCCCTAAGAGGCCCCAAGAGGCCCTCAGGAGGCCCCCAAGAGGCCCCCAAGCGGCCCCAGGAGGCCGCCCAAATGCCCCCCCGAGCACGCAAGCAAGTGCCAACAACCCGACGCGTTTAAGAGTCCCCACAAGGCCACCAAGAGGCCTCCCCGTAGACAAAACGCTTCCAGACGGCCCGCGACGCGTTCAAGACTCCCCCAGCAGCCACCAAGAAGGCTCACATGCCGAACGCAAAGCCTGATAAAAGCAGCCGCCGCCCCTGCAGCTCCGCACCGCGAAAGACCACCTCGGTCAGTCGACAACGGCGCGCAATCGGAGGTGAGGGGGTGAGATCGAAGTGGAACGGAGAGCCCCCCTACCGGGAAATCGGTTTCGGTTTCGTGTTCGTGCGTGGCGTGCGTGCGGGCGAGGCGAAGCTGCGTGGGCGGGCGAGAAGAAAGTCTCCTCTGGCTGAGGCGCTGCCGGACCAAATGAATCCTCCCCGGGGGGCGGTGCCGCACGGTGTCCCGCCGGTGTCCCGCCTCCGGCTGAGGCGCGGCCGGACCAAATGTTTCCTTTCCGGGGGCTGGTGCCGCGCGGAGTCCCGCCGGTGTCCCGCCGGTGTCCCGTCGGTGTCCCGATGATGATGATGATGATGATGATGATGATGATGATGATGATGATGATGATGATGATGATGATGATGATGATGATGATGACGATGACGATGATGATGATGATGATGATGCTGGTGCCCCGATGATGATGATGATGATGATGATGTTGATGATGATGATGTCCCGATGATGATGATGATGATGATGATGATGATGATGGTGATGATGGTGATGATGGTGATGGTGGTGATGATCATGGTGTCCCGATGATGATGATGATGATGATGATGATGTTGACGATGTTGATGATGATGGTGATGGTGATGCTGGCCATGGTGGTGATGATGATGGTGTCCCCATGATGATAATGATGATGATGCCGTTGATGATAATGGTGTCCCGATGATGATGGTGATGATGATGATGTTGATGATGATCCTGATGATGTTGATGGTGATGATATGATGAGATGATGATGATGATGATGGTGCCCCGATGATGATGATGATGATGATGAGGTTGATGATGATGCTGTTGATGATGATGATGGTGATGATGATGATGGTGTCACGATGATGATGGAGATGTTGATGATGACGATGACGATGACGATGATGGTGTCCCGATGATGATGATGTTGATGATGAGGATGATGATGAGGTGATGGTGATGATTTTGATGATGGTGGCCCGATGATGATGATGATGATGCTGATGTTGATGATAATGGTGTCCCGATGATGATGATGATGATGATGCTGACGATGTTGTTCATGATGATGATGATGAGGTGATGATGATGGTGGTGTTCCGATGCTGATGATGATGGTGTTGTCCCGATGATGATGATGTTGATGATGATGGTGACGATGATGGTGTCCCGATGATGATGCTGATGATGATGATGGTGCTGATGATGATCTTGATGATCATGGTGATGAGGTGATGATGATGATGATGATGATGCTGATGATGATGATGATGGTGTCCAGATGATGATGATGATGATGATGATGATGATGATGATGATGATGATGATGATGATGATCATGATGATGATGATTATGATGATGTTGATGATGACGTTGATGACGATGATGTTGATGATGATGACGTTGACTGTGAGATCGATTGTGATATCGATAGTGAGATCGATAGTGAGACCGAATGTGAGATCGATTGTGAGATCGCTAGTGAGATCGATAGTGAGATCGATTGTGGGATCGATAGTCAGATCGACTGTGAGATCGATCGAATGAAATAGATCGAGTGAGATCGATTGTGAGATCGATTGTGAGATCGATCGAGCGGGACCGATAGTGAGATCGATAGTGAGATCGATAGTGAGACCGATCGAGAGAGACGTTGGTTCCTCCCCCCCCCGAACCTCCTTATCACCCGAAGGTTGGCCGTATAGGTATGATATGGGCCGGCGGATGAGCGAAGCGATTCAATAAAAACTGCTAGGCAAACAAATAAAGGATCATGAAGGGACTGCTCCGGACTCTGGGAACAAAGGTACCTCCAACGAGAGCAATCTGCACGGAACAAATGAAACAAATCGACCTCTATCTTGATGATGGTCCGGGCTCGGATCGCAAGCAGGCCGCTGCAGCATTGCTGAACATCGGTTAAGGACATAGTTCATCATCCCGCTCCCCCTCTCCCATCTCCTCCTTGGACCTGTAGCGTGCGCCACTTGCAGAGACACGACCAGCTGTTCGAATATTAGTTACACCAGCGAAAACTCAAACTTCGAAGCGGGCTCACAGGTCCATGGGTGCGGTGCACAGGTTGAATAAGGTCCAGGGATTTTGAGGGCAGCACCCTTACGAAGATCGTGTCTCGCATTATTCCTCCACCGTCCCGCAGGCACTGAGCGGAGTGTCATCAGTTCCTTTCGAATTCTCTGTGAAATGCTCAAGATACTCTGGGAGAGGCCTAGAGGTTGCCGGAATTCTTGGTGTGTGGCGCATGACGCCTGGGGTGTTGCGCCTCACTTTCCCCGAGACCAGAAACCAGTGAAACACAATACGCCTTCCAATGTGTTCGATCCCCCAGGCGGGAACCCAAACTGGCCCCACGAGCTCTCTTGTGACAAGATGGAACCCAGACCGCACAAAAACCCTTGGGAGCCCAAGAGGCCCCAAGGGGCCTCCAAGGGGCCCCAGGAGGCACCCAGCAGGCCCACAAGAGGCGAGACCCCCAAGAGGCCTCCGAGAGGCCGCCAAGAGGCATCCCAAGAGACCTCAAGAGGCATCCGTGAGGACTCTGAACCACAGTCCAGAACACGGCGGCAAGATGGGCCGCAGGCCACTAGGTCCGACAGGGGTGCCCGGCGTGCTGATTTCAGGCGATTGCTGGTTCATTCTCGAACCTTCCCTGGGCCTTCGGTCTATTGCGCTGGCCACCCGGAACCACCCACAATTTGCCCAGATGGTTGCCCTTCTCGATCCTACATGGCCTAAGGTGAACCCCAAGATGCCTCAAAAACGGCCAAGATGGCCAAAAATGGCTCCAAAATTCCTCCGAAACGGCCAAGAGGGCCCCAAGAGAGCCCAAGACGCATCTAAGACGGCTCAACATGCACCTAAGATGCCCTCGAGATGGCCCAAGACCGTCCCAGAGGCCCTCAAGAGGCCTCCCAGGTAGCCCAAGAGGTCTCCAAGAGGTCCTCCAGGAAAGTCCGAAGAGGTCGAAATCATTGATTCTCCGCAGGTTGAAGGATTCGAGCATTTGCTTACTTTCGGTCTCTCGAAGGCCCAAGACAGCCCAAGAGCCCCCTCAAATCGCCCCCAGAGCGCACAAAAGGCCTCTGGCTCCACAACGGTCCAAGAGGCCCCTAGGAGAGCCCCAAGAGAGCCCCAAGACGGCCCAAGAGGCCTCCAAGCCGCCCAAGATGGCCTCCAAGACGGCCCTGAAGCGCCCTGTGAGGGCCCAAAGACGGCCGAGAGAGGCCTCAAGACCAGTTTCGACTGCGTCAGACGTGCCGGGAACGCCCTACGACAGCCAAAGAAGGCCCCAAGAAGCTCCCAAATGCCCCCAAACGGCCCAAGGAGGCCCACAGCAGGTCTCAAAGGAGGCCCACAGGAAGCTCCCAGGAGACCCCAAGAATGCCCAAATAGGCTGCCAAGAAGCCTCCTCCTCCTCCTCCTCCTTTGTCCTCCCTCTCCTCTGCATACTCTTCTTTACTGTTATTACTCATTAATAGCACTACTATTATTACATGTGGTAATTCTTCTTACTATTATCATCAGGATTGTGATTATCAATATTGCTAGAATTTGAATTATTCGTCTTGTCTTCTTATTAGTGTTCGCATTATACTTACTCCGGGTATTCCAGCTATTCCTCTTATTATTCGTATGATAGATAATCGTAGTAATCGTATAATAATGTTATGTTCACTCTTCATGTGAATTTGCCCCACGTGTTCCCTGAAGCGTTTCCACAACGGCTGGGGGAACAGATAGTCCGATAGCTTGGTCGAAACATGGCCACAACGATCGACCACGTAGGCGCTTCCAAAAAGGCAGGAGGCGGAGGTGATTCGCCGAAGGGGTCTTCGATCCGCCGTCCCGTGGCTTAGGTAGTTTTTGATCCAAGGTTCCCAAGGGGGCCTTCGGCCCCACCCCCTGGCCACCAGGAAGGACGCGCAAAGACGCGCAGAAAGGGGGAAACCAGGAAAACTCGCCCGCACGAGGACCCGTGAAACTCCCAGGTCGTCGGCATTCCCACTCCAGAGAGC